TACACAACCTACTAAATTCTATTGAGTAATGAATGTTGTTTGGTCAGACTATGCACCCCATGATTACTAGTATGATTTCTGTATATTCACATAGTATACTGCCATGAACACATTCTGTAAATGAAGAAAACTCTCTATATTTTCAAAGGGAAACAGATATATGCCACTTGCATCACATGCCAGTAGCCATTGCCTTTCTTTCCACTGCATATCTTTACAAGGAACACAGTATTTTGGAAAAAATAACATGACAAAAATATTTTTTAAATAACACAAAAAATAAAAAGGACAAAACGAACAAATTAGATTTCTTGTGATTTAATTTTTTGCTACCTATGCATCACTGAACTGAAGTCATACACTAGGTTGCAATGGCAACATAAAATTGTACATTTTGCGGATAAGTTAATAACTTACTACCTCATTACCTCTGAGGATGCTTGCCATAGATGCAGGCGAAACGTCAGGAGAAAAATTGCCTCCAGAACATGGCCATATAGCCCGGAAAACCCTACAACCACCCAAGTTAATAACTGTTTATAATGTACCCTATAAGCAAAAACTATTAGTATCAAAAATCCTTCAACATGAAATRTTCTTGAAACTTGTTCTTAAAAAATAATTTGGACTTTTCCAGATGCTTCAACAGAGTGGAGGAACATTTAGGAAGGGGGAAAGGACACAGACTTTTTGTATTGATGTGCCAAGATTTTTTTCTTTTAAAAGCCTACAATTGTAAAAATGTCAGGGTGCACCTTCATCTAAAAAAAAAAATGGCTTTGGCTTTATGTCATTCAATTTTGCATGACCTATCTGATAGATAACAGTAATAATAATAATAATAATAATAATAATAATAATAATAATCTTTATTTATACCCTGCCACCATCTCCCCAAAGGGACCCGTGGCGGCTCACAAAAGCACTTCAAGTGCCGTACATAACAAACAATACATAAGCATATAAAACAGCAACATAAATGTAAAAACAAGAGCCACATATAAACAATAACCATCATAAATACGTACTTATAATGGGCTGGAAAAATCTGAAAGCTAAAGAAAACCAGCAACAAAAAGAAAGTGGCCAAAGCCTGCTTTTTAAATGAAATCTTTTTCAAATGATTTTTTCAAAAAATCTCTGGCTACAGTAGAAAGATTATATAACCTTTCCAACTACACTGAAAAATGTAGAAAGTTTCCATAATTTTCCCAGATGAAAAAAAAGATTATTATTATTTAGAACCATATTGGAATACTCAAACTAACAATTCAAATGCTTTATTAAAGTCATTTGAGAATATCGCATACTTTTAATACTGTTTTTTTTCTTTATGGCCAATGCCCTATCAAGAAATATGCATGTCACCCCTTTAATTATTGTATTAGAAACTGTACACTGCAGGCTAAAGGGACATGTGATAATGTATATCTCAAACTTTTCATTAAACTTCCAAAATTCAAATCCTACCTTTTTGTGCACTCTGACATTTTTGTCTGGCATTTTCATTAATTTTGCGACATACATAAACGTAGCTGAAATGTTAGCTGATCAATACTTTGTCTCTCTCTTGTAGCACTAGAGCACTTTTCCCCAAAGACCACACAGCAGTACAGGAATTAAATGTGTAAAATATCAAATGTTAATGTTAACACAGCAGCACTTACTATATAACAACTGAAAAGGCTAAAACAATTCAAAATAGACAAATGGTGCCACAAATTATCCACAATCATATCTAAAGATTAAAGTTTGTCCTGAAAAATAATTCATTGACTCATGTTGAAGTCTGTCCTTTTACTGAGAGCTTACTTTTCCAATTATTTCTCTGCTCATTACAGCAAGCTGGTAATACATGAAAGAGGTTGCATACATTCTTCTCCACTCCTGCCTTATATTATCTCACATTTCCTTGCACTCTCCAACATCCACAAATACATGAATGACTGGTCAAGAGCCTAAAGAAAATTAAACCCAACTGAGAAGAAATTACATCATATTATTCCAAAAATAATCCGAGTCATTTGATAATTTCTATTTATTTGTTATGGAATGCAACATAAGAATCTTCTGTAATAGGCACTGCATATTAAAAGTCCCTAGAAGTAATTCATACTGCTTTATTTAAATATTAACACAGAGACAATAGTGCCTTTACAAAACAAAGTTCCAAAGAGGCTGCTTGATGGACGAAGGAGTGGTGTGGTTATATTCACTTTTTCCCACACTGACCCCAGGGCCACCTTCCTCACAATGGTCTCCCAACCCCCTGGAGCAAATTTCAAGGTCATAAAAGGCCGCAAAAGGAAGGGCAAAAGACCTCCTCAGTTCTGCACACAGAATCGCCCAGTTTCCAGGGGGTTGACATTTTAACAGAACCATCTGCATTTGGTTATTTAGCCTTCATATGTTAGGATGGCTTGAGTTCTGTGACGTGAACTGCATTCAAACAATCCATGTGACTTAAGATTCAAACCTATAGTCAATGAATGCACCAGAAACTCTCCTGAACACAACTATTTGCAGTAATAAAAAAGGTTTCCACAAAGGTCCTCTGACAGCTCTATAGGTTGCTGAGGTCTGGCTTTATGACAAGACTTAGGCAAAACTCTTGGGTATAAACCGCCAAGTATCAGCTGTCTCTGTCAAAAGACTTTGAAACCAATCAATAATCCACAGTTTACATTCTGCACCAACAAGGTGTCAATCTAAAGATTATGGCATACAAAGATGAAGGTGTTTTAATTTCTTTAAAGCTGTCTATAGATTTTGATTCTTTCTTAAGACCTTTGGCTGTCTAAACCAATGCAGCCTAACACATGTATGACAGAAGGCAGCCTGGACTGGTTCTATTTGCCATGCCACACTGTGGCAGATCACTTAGTAGCTAAAAAAAAAAGTAGATTATGCAAAGAGATCAAGGAGAGAAGATATTAGGAAAAAATCAAGAGTTCATTGCACTGAAGGCTCCTGGCTTGTCATTTCTGGAGCATCTAGGAAGTGATAGTATGTTCAAGATATTCACTACAACTGAGGCACAAAGGAAAAAATATCCAGGTTTCCAAACTAATTGCTATTGGTTAACAATGAAGTTATATGAAAGGGGTGAGGGAAAAATAAGAAAAAGGAAATGGACCCCCCCCCCACCCCCAAAAAGCAGAGATAAACACTACAATGTGGGCAGCAACTCAACTCTGGCACTTTGGGGAAAAAAACAGGGAGATAGCGAATGTTTTTGAAGTGCCAAGAATGACTTTCTCATTTAAACACAAACAACAGACTTTATAAATGTGCACAAAACTTCATAATAATATAAATAAAGCCATGCATTATCAGAACAAAGGTCTATCTAGTTCAGCATCCTATATTCAAAGTTGTCAATTTGTCAAAAGGGTGAGTATTCCTTACACGAAAGGCTTGGGACCAGAAGTGTTTTAGATTTCAATTTTAATGGATTTTGGAATACCTATATTTACATACACATAAATAATAAAATATCTTGGAGAAAGTCTAAACACGAATTCATTTATGATTCATATATACATTATACGCATAACCTGAAGCTAACTGTATACATAATATTTATAATAATTTTGTGCATGAAACACTCATGGCCCACATGAGAAAACAATGGTGTCACTATCTCAGCCAGCCATTTAGACAATTTGAGATTTTGGAGACTTCTGGATATTTGAATTCTGGATAAGGAATATTCAGCCTGTTGTCCTCTCCCGCAACTGATGCCTCTTATTCTTGAGGTAATACAGTGTTATCATGAATATTAAAATGTGCAGAATAAGAAATATTACTGTATCAACATCTGTGTTTACATTATTAAGTTGCATATTTCTGTACTGCAGTATCACAGAAGCAGTGGTTTCTACTTTTATTGTGGCTGCTTCCTACAACATCCGCCCACATCTAGCACAGAAAACCATATGGGAGAAGTCCCATTCCAGTATACCCTTTCCACATATAAAAGTATCCTGGCAAATTAATAAAAGACAATCCCTCCCACACAGTTTTCCAGACTCAACCATTATCAAACCACACAGGTATATTGGTGGAAATCAGTCACATAAAAGCAACTCATCACTACTTCCCATTCTCTAAAAAATGTATTTACTGACACAGCAATTCTTCATCATTTTCTATAATGTCATTGTTGTGTATCCCAGGTATTACAACAATTTTTGGCAGTTTAATTCTATGTTTTGGTAGCTTTTACTTATTAGGATGCTCTTCTTCAGAGCATGAGGCTTGCCAGAACTGGCAAGGAAGCTAAAAAGACGCTAACTGGGACAAGTGTCAGAATTTATAGCAAATGTTGGATTGAAAGGACTTTTTGTTTTAAGGTGGGCAAAATGCTAGAGGAAAGAGAGACCAGGATTCACCTAGCAGTTAGAATATCTTAATGCAAATTTTCAAAACAAAACTGATAATGCATTTGTCTCATTTTAGTGAACAGATTGCAAGGGCCTTCTCAGAGATGGTTTCCGGTCTATAGAATGTACTTTCTGTTGTCCTTTCAATGACAAGAAATTATTTTAAGTTTTCGATTGCTTTGGAGGAGATGTTTAAAGTACTTATAAATTATTTTTTAATCTGGTTGCTGTTCTAATACATTTTGTTTAATAGTGTTTTAGTATAACAACCATTTGGTTCTGGTTACCTGTTGTGCTATTTGTGTTTTAATTATGTTTTCAAATCATGGTGTCATCTACCTAAAATCCCATAAAAAAACAGGAAAAAACATAAATAGAGGGCAACAAATAAATAAGAAATGGATTCATTGTGATGCTTCATCTTGGGAAATGCCAATTGGAAATCCACACCAGTCTTAAAGGAAATATTGGCTGTTTCACTAAAAACCTTACACAGAATCTTGGTAATTGGTTTATTGAGTTTATTCCTTCAGTTAAAGTTGTGCCGTGATGCTGAGGCTATTAAAAACATTATACACAAATGTATCAGTAATAATGAGTCATAAAACACCATACCACAAAAGCAGCAAGACTCCTTGGTGGTGAATCCCAGTCAAAGCAACTATTTATGTAGTAGGCAGCATTTATGAGAACCATGACACAACGTTTCATGCGCATAAAGTTTCTTAGAAGAAGCTGAAGGGAAGGAAATACAATATGTGTTAGCTTGATTTGCGTATTTTAGGTATGAACACTACTGGGAACACATTTTAACTTTAATGTGCCGTAGGGAGCTAAATTATAATGCACTGTAAGATAAAAGAAGAAATGGCTGTCTTGGTATTTATCATCCTTATCAATAGGTGTATCAAATGTGCAGCACAAAATTCAAATTACAGTACAATTGTACATAAGAATGCATTTTATTTCCAATTATTTAAAAGCATGTCTTAGGTACTGTGAATCAGAGACTTATCAATCTAGCTTCTCATAACTGGAATCCTATCCATGTTTTACTTGAGTAGATTTGAAAAAAAATTCTAATTCTAATTCAATCAAGCTTCTCATAACTGGAATCCTATCCATATTTTACTTGAGTAGATTTGAAAAAATTTCTAATTCTGAGTAACCTCTCTGAGGGTTATTGTATTTACATTTCTCTGCTGAAGCTTAACAATATCATCCCGTAAATATATCATCCTTCCCCAAAATGATATCCTCCAAATATTTTGAACTACAACCACCGTCTCCACAAAAAATTGGCAATGCTAGCTGGGATTGTTAGGAACTGTATCCAAATGTCTGGAAAGTGCTAAATTATAGATGGATTCCAAACATGGATAGGAAGAACATCTCACTATTTAATTAATCGTTAGTTGCATCCAGTAGTTGGAAAACTACCTCCGTACAATTCATTCACAACATTCATAAATGTCATTGTATTTATAGATTTACTGCTACTCTATTACCAACTTTTAAGGAGAAGTTGATGAGAATGATAGCATCTAGAAAATTGTTTGTCCTAACGGAACACACTCAATACAATTATATAACTGTTAATAAATGACTGGATTTGATTCATTGTCTATTAGTTGATTTGCTATTAATGCCCAATTGAAAAATCTTACTCTTTAGGGGGGGAAAGCTTTTTATTGAAAAAGACTTACTGTATATACTCATATATATGTTGGTCTTATAAAGGAGTCAAGGGCAGGTTTGAAGGCCATAATATGGGCTTTGGTATGACTCGTGTATAAGTCAAGCATAAGATTTAGGGTTATGTAGCAAACAAATCTTTTCCTCTACTTTTAAAAGTGTATAGAGGGAACATACTTAGGAAACATCTTAATTTGAGGGGTTACAATTGGAGGGAAGGCTATAAACTGCATTGCTGGTCTTAAAATGTCTACAGCTATACAAATAGGGAAAAGAATATAAATGAGGAGAAAGAATGAAAATACAATCTGCAAAAAAAAAAAACGCACACAGGGAATGGGGGGAGAAAAGAGCAAGGAAATCAACCTGCCTCTATGAGGGACCCAGTGCAAAGACAGTGACAAGATGCAGAGGTCAGAAACCTTTCTTGGCATGGCAGAATGTGAAAGCAGCGTTCACATCCCTTTACTCCTTCCTTGCCCAAAACAGGGAAAGAAATGCAGCCTTTCCGTCTTCATCATTTTTCTTTTCAGCCTGCTGCTATCCAGTAGCAACATTGCTAAAGAACGTGGTGTGATAGCCATTTTTGACCCTTGTGTTGGAGCAGAATGACATCAGCCAGTTTTAATAGGGGCTTATTGTATAAGTCCCACAAAGCTTACAGAGCGACTATGGTAAACCCCTAATTAACATGGCTGCTACCATTTTGCTTCATCTCAAACATTCAAAATGGTGGGCCAAAAAGGGCGAGGAAGGAGTGAGGGCTGTCTTTCTTTCTCTGTTTCGGGCACTCAAGGGCTGAAGAGGTAGTAGTGTTGTCTCCATCCCAGCTACAGAATGGGGCACTTTTCACCAATGCCTCATGTCACTCCCTTCACACCGGTGTCCCTAATAGAGGCAGGTTGCTATCCTTCTTCTGCCCTCTCCCTTTTTTCAGGCTGCATTCACATTGTTCTTTCATCCAGTGTTGTTATCATCTGTTTTCAAATGGGTCCTATTTTGAGAGAAATAATAAATCAATAAATAAGTTGACTCAGGTTTTTGCTTCAAATTATTTCTGAAAATTCTTCAGACTTACTCTTGAGTGTATATGATAGTATTTTATATATTAAATATATTTAAATACTGAATAGCTTCTGTAAAGAAATGTAGAGTTTCACTAATGTCAGAGATTGTAAACAGAAAAACCATCAATAAGGCTGTTAAGTGTATTCTACAAGTTACTTGAATTGAGAGCATTCACTAGTACTGTATGTTTGAAAGCATTACTGCCCTTCCAAAATTATTATACAAGTTACTTCAAATGAAAGCATTAAATAGAATTGCACTTTGAAATAGTGTCTACTTTTCTATTAACTAAAAATAACCACAATAAGTAGTAAACATACCTGAAAAGAAGATAAGAACCTTGTAACCAAATGCGAAAAGTCTAATGAATTATTTTGGTTGTCTTGATTAAAATTCTAAAAAGCCCACAGAATTAGAGGCAAGAGAACAAAAGGCCGATACATTCCTTAATCCATACAATATGAGGGTCAAAGTTAGCAGCAAAAATGTATGCTAGACTAAGTTTACAACCACCTGTGTTATAACCTGATACATTGGGGCAGGTTGCTTACTTCACTCTGGTTTCACTATGAAGATAATGAACTCTGGCAGGAAGGGATGATGCAATTCACATTTACGCTCTTCCATCTTTGAAATTTCCAAAGGCGACTTTTTGTTTTTTGGCAGGAAGAGGTTGCTCTCTTTGCTATCAAGTCTAAAACTATTACGAGGCTGCTCTTGATTTCAGTTCTTGTCCAAGTCTTTACCTGTTTAGAAATTCTGTTCTCTTCTTCAATATACTTCTGCTCTTTAGGCATTAATGTTCGTATACTGGCTTTCACCTATACATCAAAACATCATAAGCGTTAGGGATTCAGATGTACAGTGTTTAGCATCTTAATTAAAACATTTCAAAGTCATGAGGCCAAAAGTATGCGGTAGATTTGCGAGGCGCAGAAATACATGCTTGTGGATAGATTAGCAACAATACAGGAAAGTGAAAATGTGTGGGTGTCTCAGCTAGTGGCAGAAGAGCATTCTGCAGCATACATCAAGGTTTAGAGAAAATGAGAAATGACAGAAATTCTCTACAAATCAGGAACAAAAGCTTTTATGAAACTGAACTCTTTAGCAGTACAAAAAAGGCAAAGTTAAGACTTACAGCATTAAAAATCACATCTATTTCAAGATAGATGACCCCCTTTGTTGGCCCTGTCAGCTGCTTGTTTTTCAAGACGTAGGCTTTCTGTTCACCATTTTGAATCTGCAGGAAAAGGACATGACAGCCGTCTGTCTCGCGGTCTCCACTGAATACACTCCCTCCATGACCTTTGACCCCCAGCTGCTGAAACTGACAGAGAACCCAAAACAACTGTGGCAATTCTGACAAGTACCTGTTCATTACCAGGACCAAGTCTGTCAGGAAAAATTAACTATCATGGGATTCAACATGGCCGTGAATTGAGTATGTTAAATTTTTTTAGTTTTCTTATTATAGACCTGGGTTGAGAAATGGCAGACAGTGCTATTTTTTTCTGTGTCTATAAAAAGACACAGAGCAGAGCAATATAATAACAACAACAATCATAGAAATCTTACAGACAACAATGGGATAGCCACTTTGCCCAGGAAGTCAGCACTCCGATCTCGATCTTCATCATAGACCGTCACTTCAAGAACTGAATGAATATCTTTAATATTGCTTGGGAATGGGTGGGGCAGAGAAAGAAATGGAAAAGTCATGGAACAGAATGCATTAAGAATCTACAGAAAAAACAAAATGCTGCAGTTATTTTCCAAGACTATACACAAAAAAGGGAGAGCTATATGGAAATTAGTTAAAACAAGAATGTCCAAGAAGGCAACAAAGGAATGATATTAGTTATTTCAGTGCAGATTAGATAATACACATCTCACAACTGGCATAAGGAATATTTTCATGAACATGTCTCCAGATTTACTACACTGTAGAAGTAACAGGAAAATAAAAAATGTGCTTTACATCTAGATATGATTTGCTCCTTTGTGAGTATAGTACAAAATCTCAACTTGTAGGAAGCAAATTTGGTTTCTGACAGATATTATTAAACTTCTATGGCACTTCAAAATATTGGATTAATTTGTGTGCTTGACCATTGTTTATAATGATGTGACTGACCTTAACTTTCCCAGGGTTCCTATCTCTTTCTCCAACATGGCAGATATAAAGAGATTGGAAACATTTGCTTCCATTTTAGAGAAACTATGCTTTGTAAAGTGTCATCAAACCACAGCAAATTCCATCTAAGATTAGTTAAAAGAAGTCAGACTCACAAACTATAGTTTATGTTCATGACAACAGTTTCAAGAACTTTTGGGACTGACAGGGAGAGAAGGGAGGAAAGTCACTTATTTTAATAGATCACAACTGCTAGCCTTTTCTGCTGTTCCTTCAATTCAGCTAAAGAGAAACAATTCCGCTTTTTATTGATTACATCACTTAGATAGCAAGTAACAACCTGAATGCATATTTTTCTACTTAACTTTTCGCTTTATGGGTCTTAGCTGAAGCTTTTTAATTAGAAAAAAATAGTGAACACTGAAGCTAAGAATCCTAATTCTCAAATAAGAGAATGTCTGATAAATGCATTTAATCCATTAAATCACCTTCACTCCAACAAAACTCCCAATATTAGAATATTATGAAACTAAGGAAGAAATAGAATGACAGGAAAACATTAGATCGTCCAGCAAAAAAAATAGGCTTTTCACATTAATTCCTATATCTAACTCATTCACTGAGTGAACAATAGCAAGAAGAAAGCTGAACACAAGGGTGAGGAGTGGGTGGGTCCTCTGAAGGACTGTCGTTCTATGTCTAGCCTAGAAAATGCTATAGGATGATGGGAGATGCAGCCCAACAACATAAGGCAGGCCACACATTTTGTATCCCTGACTTAAAAGAGCTATGTACCAACAGTTTCTCAGTGAGTAAATCGTGTAGTCTGACTGCAATGTACTTCCTGTACTACTAGGTTCTGGCTTTTTAATTGACCCACGTCTCCATTTCTAGTAAATCAGTGATGTTGAAATGATAGAAAACAAATTATGCTCAAACTATTAAAACTTAGCACTTGAAAAAGTTATCTTTTGGACCATGTTTTGCAAAAAATCCACAAGTCATAGTGGCCATTTGATCTGTTTGTTTAATTACTGATCAATGGGTAGATTCTAAAACTTAGAAAACTGGTTCATCTATAAAGCAGTAATAGATCACCTTCCTTGCCATATAGATTTCCAAATGTGAAATAAGACAATACATTTCAAAATATAGAGAAACCCAGCTTCTGCATAATCTTCACATGCCTCTCTAACTTCCTATTTATCTCCATTGATCCTTCTTCCAGATACATTAATTTAAATATGACAAAGGATCCAGTGAGTCAGGAAGAAAAGAAAAGTCAACACACGTTTGGGAATTTCTGGTTACATCAAGCCTATGAGATGTATACTGTGAAAGAAAAACCACACTGTTTTCAATCTGATGGCAATAATCTCCCTTTCCAAGATTTAAAGTTATGATTTCTTCCATTAGGCCATAATTTTCATATCCAGAAGCAAAAAGATCACAATTCAGAGTAAAGTGAGTTGTACTAGGAATAGTGAGGAGTTTGCAAGGGTTGCCAGATCAATTTTAAAATATATTTTAAGATCTTTTTTTAAATGTCATCTCAACCAATTAGCTCCATAGCATGGATGATACTAACTCAATATACATTGAGATTTTGAATATTGCCATTCATAAGACAATGTCAAAGAGCCAAATGTCTATTTTGTCTTGACAGCTTGGAAAGGATGAATGAATCTTAAAGGCAAAATAGAAAGCAACAACATATTAAGACTTACAAGGTGAAGATTTTGTTCCACTCAGGGTTAAGGTTCTTGTATACTGTGTGGGTCAACAGTCTATCATTGTTCAACTCAACTACACAAAAGGGATCACTTTTACCTAGATGAAAACCAATGAAAAACATTCATAAATAATTTAATATTATCTTTGCTTTCTATATAACTTGAACTCATACTGTAAATCTAAAACAATTGTACATATTTCACTGTTAATTTTGCAATTCAGAAAAGATGTACCAAATTTTTGGGTACTAATCAAGTAATTGTTTTGATGGTTAGAAAATCTGTGAAGCCGAGACCACAGGTAAATCCATCCGCCATTTTCGACAGTGATCATTCAATAATTTAATGCACTTACACAATTCAAACAGCACGGTCTGGGTTTAATTTAGGGAAAACAAAATATGGATGTGATAGAGAAAACATGAATTTAGTGTATCTGCTATTTAATCATTGTTTAAAAAATTATCTTTCCAGTTACTATGTTTCATCATATGTGGGTGCATCTACACTGTAGAAAAAGTACACTTTGAAATCATGGGAGTTATAGTTTTACAACTTCTCTGCCAAAGAGCGTTGGTGCCTCATCAAATTACAACTACAAGGATTCCATAGCACTGAGCCATTGCTGTTAAAGTGATGCCAAACAGCATTAATTATACAGTGCAGGTACTCCTCATACTGACTTAATAAGATTTAAAATGGAATTTAAGCAATCCCAAAACCATTGCAATTCACATTTACTAAGGAGGACATTTCATTTAGGATTTCTTCTGAGTAGACATGCTTGGTATGACTAAGCATAGAATGGCCATGATGTACCAAGATATACAGGGTGAGGCAGCATAACTTCCTTTTTTCAAAACTTAATAAAACCCATTGTAAGAATCAGAATTTTTTATTTTTTTTATAATGTAGGTGCATACCTAAAGTTTTGTTTTACGTAGTTTTGAAGATCAAATTAGGTAGGTGACGTCCCGTATTCTCCATTCTCCATATACCGAGTAAACCGATTTCTGGCATTTGTCATGACTCTTGCCAGCATAGCAGGCATTACGTTGGAAATTTCTTCCTGGATGTTGGTCTTCAAATCTTGTAGGGTTCTTGGACGGTTCACATAAACACGGGATTTAAAAAAAACCCATAGAAAAAAATCACAAGAGGCCAAATCTGGAGAGCGGGCCGGCCACTCCAAATCCGCTTGAAAATTAGGCCTCAACGGCAAAAGCACACTCCTCACTGTTCCGACGCATGATGGCAACTGAACTGTGTCAGGAGAAAACTTTATACTCTCGCCTCTCAAACAAGACCACTAGCACTCCGCTATGTCTTCAACCAACTGAATGGTGCGCATTTAAAAAAAATATGTTATGCTGCCTCACCCTATACATACACATATATGTGAGTGTGCATGAATAACACACATACACTTCAAAGCAGGCAGCACCCATGTTATTTGATGATGATGATGATGATGATGATTATTATTATTTGAAACATAATAAGATGAGTCCACAGCAAACAAGAACACTCTGCTGGCTGATGTATTGGATCACACGTCGGACACTTCCCAAGTATCTAGGACTGCTTGAACTGGGTGATGTATCAGCGAATAATGCATGAAGATCCCAGTAAGGTGGCCTTTTGTCAGCGCCAATAGTGTTTAAGTGCAGGCCAAGGTCTTTAGGTACTGCACCCAGTGTGCCAATCACCACTGGGACCACCTTTACTGGCTTGTGCCAGTAAAGAGTCTTTGCAGTTCAATCTTTAAATCCTCATATTATTATTATTTTATTTTATTTTCTTCCCCGCCTCTTCTTGTGGCACGAGGCGGGTTACAGAATAATTAAAATGCATAAACATTGTTAAAATACCTGAAATACACGTATTAAAATGTATTTTTATAAAAGAGGTTTTTCTATAAAATACTTATTAAAATACATAAAACATAGATTAAACAAAGGACACGTGTTTAAAATTTATGTTGAAAAACTGTCTAGAGAGACCTGCTGGAAGAAGTAGGTCTTTAGATTGTTTTTAAATTCCGACAGCTCCTTTAGCTGTCAGAGCTTTTCCGACAGGTCATTCCACAGTCATGGGGCAACCAATGAAAAGTTCCTCTGGGTGATGGTTGCCAGTTGGGTTCTGACAGGTTGCAGTAACCGCCCTCCAGAGGATCTCAGTGTTCTGGGAAGATTACACGGGAGAAGGCAATCTTGCAGCTAACCTGAACCCAAACCATGTAGTGCTTTAAAGTTCAAAACAAATACCTTGTACTTTGCCCAGAAAACAATTGGCAGCCAGTGGAGTGACTTTATGATAGGTTTAACATGCTCACTCCTAGATGTTCCTGTAACTGGTCTGGCTGCCATATTCTGAACCAACTGGAGTTTCCGAACTTGGTGCAAAGGTAGCCCAACGTAAAGTGCATTGCAGAAGTCCAGGCTTGAGGTTACCAGTATGTGTACTACCATCTCCAGGTCCTCCAAATCTAGGAAGGAGTGCATCTGATGTATCAGCAGAAGCTGATAGTAAGCACTCCTGACCATCACATCTATTTAGACTGACATTTGGAGAGATGATCCAGGAGTACTCCCAAACAGCAAACACAATCTTTCAGGGAGAGTGTAACCTCATTCAGAACGGGCTGACACACCTCCATCTCCAGATTAGGACAAACCTCCATCTCCAGTTTAGGATCCTTGACGGCAAGCACCCCTGTTTTCTGTGCATTCTGTTTCAATTTGTTTTTCCTCATCCAGCCCATTACCTCCTCCATGCATTTACTCAGAGGAGAAATTCTACCCTTAGCTGAAGCTATTTTAGAAGGCATGGAGAAATATATTTGTGTGTCAGCAGCTGGGTTGTAGCACAGCAGGTTAACCACCAGCTGCAGTAAATCTTGCCAACAGAAAGGATGACAGTTCAAAGCCCGGGTCAGGTTGAGCTCCTGGCCTTTAACCCAGCTTCTGTCTACCTGGCAGTTTCAAAAACAGCAATGTGAGTAGATAAATAGGTACTGCTTAGCGGGGAGGTATTTAAAGCACCCATAAGGACATGCCAGAAAAATGCCTGCGAATCAATCAAGGAGGAAATTTACAAACAAAGCTCTTCAGCAGGGAAAATGGAACGAAAGGCCCCCCATGGCCGGAACTGAACACAGCCTCCAAGATGCCGTAGACGGGAAAGCCTATATATACCTCTATCTACGTATAGTTGTCTGTCTTGTCAGTGTATAATGGCATCGAATGTTCATCGTATATATGTTCTGTGATCTCCCCTTCGAGGTGAGAAGGGCAGAATATAAATACTATAAATAAATAAATAAATAAATAAATAAATAAATCAGCATACTGATAACACTCTGCACCATGGCTACAGATGATCTCTCCTATTAATAAATCTTTGTTTGCATCGACAACAGACGGGCACAACTCATTTAATATTAATGACCATACTATTGCAATACAATCCATTGGGGCTTTTTCATTATAGTAAGTCTAATACATAAAGCAATTGTATATAATCCAGTAGTTATGTAATGTAACATAATTGCAGAATACATAGCTTCACCAGGTTAAAGGTACTAGGATGACATTAATTTGTTTGATAATTAATTCAACATACAGATGAAGTTTTCTGAGTCCCTTAAAATACCAATATTGATTCAAGGCTTCATCATAACTTAATGTATATATTATTACCTCTAACAACAATGTGTGATTGATTTAAATGTCTTAGTTTATATCTGGACTGCCTATGCATTGACACAAAAAATATATGGGAAAAAAGTAAATATTATTTGGCTTCAACATGATGAAGTCATTAACCATCTCTAGGGACATATACACTGACAAAAAGATCGCTTCCTGTATCAACTTTGAATGCAAAAAATCATAGCTGATTACCTCGCTTCAAAGAACAGAGTGCAAATGGGGGTGACAAAGCCCATCTACCTCACATGACACAATTACTTTACTCCTGAGATGATGTTGTACTACACTGACACCCCCTATCATTCTGTATAATTTCCTGAAAAAAATAAAGAACCATCCTCCCCTCAGCCCATGGGATACATTTGTGTATCAGCACTTAACAGAACAATTACTCTTGACCTGCTTATGACAATAATCTTTTTTAAACTTAGTTGAGAGCCAACTGACAGCTGGTTATATTTTGTATTCCAACTATGCCTCCAAGGAGATTCAAGGCAACATCTATATCATTCTTTTAAACACCAACTGTAATCATCAGCCACTTTTTCTTTACCACAACCTTGCTAAGTAAAGGGGGGGGGGCAAAGGAATCCTATGACACTTTGTGACTGAAAAAAGGAGATCTTTAAAGCATAAGCTTTCATGGGCTCTGATCCATTTCATCAGATGTTGTCAGTGTTGGGATAAGAAGGTGGCTGTCAGGCTGATGGTCACCCAACAAGGTTCACTGCCAATTTGGTTCTCCTTAGCCATAGTTTGGCACCCTGACTACTATACAGCTCTGTCTATACCAAATACTGAACACTGTGCTGTTGTTGTTTTCCTGTCACTATTATCATTGTAACAAAAATATTCATGTTAATCACAAGCTGCACTTGAAGTTAATATAATTTTCTTTCATTAAGTTCAATTAGGTTGAGATCATTGTTTTAAACAGAACCTATATCACTTGTCCAGGTTTTATTTTCTCATAAGAAAAGGGCAATTGAATCTTTAGTAGCTATCTGAAACAAAAAGTGATTTCAAAAAAATATCCAAAGAATCCACAAACTGCAAACAACTTGAAGACACACAACAATTATTTATCAAAAATTACTTATCTGCACCTTTTCCAAAAATGCTATGTATAGTTATTAAAAGAAAAAATAACTCCCCAAAACATGTATACCTCAGTGCTTTCTTTTCCAGTCTCCATAATATAAACTTCAAAAAAATATTCAATTCTGTTTACAATGACAATATTCATCCAATAAATTAGAGACATTGGGAGTTCTCAGACCTCGCCCACAGTTAGTATATTGTTAGATAACATGAAGGTCTTTCTGATGGGGGTTTTCCAGTTTGGAACTTCTTTTATCAAGAGTCGAGATCTGAGGCAGGAAAG